CAGAGTCGACATCAGGTGAATACCCGTGTGATGACTCAGAAGAATGCCTGGCCAGGGCTTCCGAGCAGACGTTTCAGCAGGAGTCCCAGGGCCCCACGCTGGGCGCCAGTTGTCCCAGCCCGCGGGACGAACGTGGAGTGTGCCGGAGACACCTGCAGAAATGAGACAAGCAAGGGACACAAAGAACAACCAGCAAGACAGGATGTCTGATCAAGCTGGCCAAGTTTATTGTTTGTAGGCTTAATTTATACAGGTCAGCAAGGAAGGGGTGGGTCAAAAGGCAATTGGACCTTAGGTGATGCTGGTGGGAAGGTGTAAAGGGGTGATTGGGCTTTGGTTGGTGCCGGCGGGAGCAGAGAACCCGGAAGAGAAGCGGGGAGTTCGCCATTTTGTGGGTGGGGGCTCTTTGGTCTCCGGCAGTTAAACCCTGAAATTTGGCATGGGTCAGCTTTTTGGGGGTATATGTGTAAGACGAAGAATGGGGAATATCTGAATGAGATCAGGATTCTTTATAAAGAGAAAGAAAATGGCTATCGGTAAGAAATAAACAATGCTCTGTAAGGTATATTTTCCTTATGTTGTGGGTTGAATTGTGTGCCTCTCTGAACTGATGTGTTGAAACCCTAACCCCCGTGTGACTGTATTTGGGAAGAGGGCCGCCAAGGAGGTAATAGAGGTTAAGGGAAGACATGAGGGTGGGACTTCAATCTGTTATAACTGGTATCCTTATACAAAAAAGAAGAGACGCCAGAAATCCACCTCTCTCTATGCACAGCTCTGAGAAAGCAACAAGAAGGTGGCTGACTGCGAGCCGGCAAGACAGCGCTCACCAGAAGCCAGCCCTGATGACACCTTGATCTTGGACTTACAGCCTCCAGAACTGTGAGAAAATAAATTTTTGTGTATGCCACCCACTCTGTGGTATTTTGTTATGGTAGCCAAAGCAGATTAACAGATTTGCTGTATTTCTTTCAAATAAGTATATGGGAGTTTATTCATGATGCTGGGCACTTTAAATTGTGAATTCTTGGGGGGAATATAGGCTCTTCTTTTTTATTTTTTTCCATTCCATCTGCTTCTGCATTTAGGATTCTCTGGTTCTCTAATTATGGAACTAAGCTTTCAACTCTTTGGATGAAGAGGCTGAATGTGCAACTGCCCCTCAGTCCCCAAGCTTTTAAAATGCCATATGCTATGTATGTATTCTTGGATAATTGTGACACGTTTTGGACTTACCCTATGCCCCACTTAAGGATTGACTGATGTATGGTAACTGGGATGGGCTCAATATAAATTCCATCTGGCTTGTACGAGAAAAAAAACAAATGTTTAATATAAGATGAAAGAATATTAAAGAGAGCTTAAAAGAGGAAGGTTTAATCAGAATTATAGTGAAGTTCATGGTGCAAATTTGAAAGAAGGATGCATTTAAAACCTAAACTCAATTTCTGGTTTCCTAAAGTTTGTCCTCATATACCTACTACTACTTACTGTTTTCCATCCCACTTGAAAAGCCTTTTAGTTGGAGAACATCAGTTCCGGTACTCTCTATTCATATTTAAATAAACAGAGAACCTCAGGTTAAATTCCTTAGAGCTAGATTAGATTTGCTTTCCATCAAGTTTGTTATTAAAGCATATTTACCAAGATAGTGACTACTTAATCTAGGCCCTTATTTTAAATTTAATATATAAGTTATGGAAATTGCAGGGAAGAGGGATTGGAAGGCTTGTACTACATATACACAATTAGGCTGAGCTGGGGCTGGCACCACCGAACTGTTAGGGCTGCAGTTCATTGGTTTCTAAACACTGCGTTTACACACTACTATTGAGGATTCAACAGGTATTTTTTTTAACATGTCCAGGAATACCTGGGGAAGCAGTCTGCAATAAAATACACTAGTACTTCTGCAGTAAAATATGAATACTTATAATAAGTAAGATTAAGTCAGATTTTGTTTCCAAAAGAGCTTAGGTCAAGTTGAATTTGCCACCCAAGTAAGCAGAAGTTTTTATTTTTCAGAGAGTTTTGGATTTCAGAACTGAATAAGGGGTTAGGACCTGCAATATCTTCACAACCCAAATGTATGAAGAATAAACCTAGGCACAGAGAGTAAAGAAGCATGTTCAGGGTTCCACACTGGTACCTGATGATTCAAATCCTGGCAGTGTAGATTCATTACAGCATCTCAGTGAAATGTGTAAAAGAGCCAGAGAAATTCTGCTCTCCAATGGATGAGGAAGGTGTCCTGGATGGAGGAA